TGTGTGTGTCTTCACCCCCTGCTCCTTGTTCCCCACACCTCCCTCCACCTTCCGCTCCTCTTTCCTGCCTCCTCCCTTTTCCAAGCTAGTAGATGGAGAGCTGCTGAAGACTATGCTGTCCCTTGTGATTTTGTACTGTACAGAAAGTTCAGGGAAGGTGAGCTGAGAGAGTTTGAGCCAACTGTTCTCAAACATGGTGACTGTAAGTGCTTGGCCAAACATTTAAAGAAATACGTGTATATTTGTTTGCTCTGGATTCAATATTGGAAAAAAAAAGTTTGAGAATTTAATACTACTTTAAGCGAAAAGCAGGAAAGAAGCTACCACGAGAGAGATTGTGGCATTATTCCTTGATTGTTCACTCAATATGGTCTCTATTTGTGTTATTTTAGTGTTATATTATTAGAATAATCTTGACACCAACATGTTCAGCAATAATATGTTACTTTATCTAAATGGTGAACTGCTGCATGCCCAAATCCTTTGTAGTCCCAGGTTCACTAACATGATAGTTTAGGACTGAAGTCTAGCCTGCTATACTCCAAAATAAAGAAAACTGCAAAGAAATGATTATTTTGTGTAGCTTAACATGGTATGGTAGTTTAGTGACAAACAGGGTTATTCGCAAAAAGGTGAAGAGTTTGGAGAAGGCAGAAGAAGTGAACAATCTAGGACAACATAGCTGAACTGGAAAGTGAGCTGAATAAGAGAATGTCTCCAAATCAGCTATTCTCTCCTAGATTGTTCAGTTCTCCTGACTTCTCCAAACTCTTCACCCTTTCATGAATAACCCTGAAAATGTTTCAAAGATGGCATTAGCGATAATCTAATCAGATGAATTTGTACTTTGCAAACTTTTGATTGTTTAGACTATTTGCATGCTAAACTATCTGATTTACAAAGAATCATATAACTGAGGAATCACAAATGTTGTGTTTAAGGAATTGTATAATTCTCCGCATATTGGACATCTATATATTCCCGACATAATGTATATTCAGGTGAATCAAAACATTTCCTATTATATATGCAACTGATTTGTAAATGGATCTGCTTATAGTTAGCACTCTTGCCTTAAGGTTATAGGTTTGAATCCTTCCTGGAACACCATCTGAATGGAGTTTTTATGATCTCCCCATGTCTATGTGGTTTTCCTCCAGGTGCTCTTGTTTCCATTTACAATCCAAAAACGTACTAGCATTCTTCAAAAATGTGCCCCAAATGTGTGTATGAGTGTGGTAGGATGACATTAAATTGTGAGCTCCTTTAAAAGACAGGGAGTGATGCGTAGCCTATAAAGCACTGCATTATATGTACATTCTGCACTGAGTGGCCAGATTATTATGACCACCCCATCAGTACTTTGTTGGGCTACGAGATGACTCCGCGAGATGTTGAAAGGTGATGCGAGGAATCTGACACTGCACTGTTGCCCTTCTGTTTGTCTTGTACCAGTCTTGCCACTCTCCGTTCTGCCCTAACATTGACTAGTCCTGACGGCCACAATTCGCACGTTCAGACCCAGATTTTCGGCTGACAGTCCAGTCTTTAAACACTTTAACAACAGCTGCTCTTGAACATTTAACCAATTCTGCTGTTTTGCTGATACTCGCTCCGAGTGCCAACAACCATCCCACATTCAAAGGCTGTTAAATCGCGTTGTTTACCCGTATCTTCAGAAAAAAATCACTTCTACTGTCGTGATAAACAACCTGCTTCCCTATTTATAATGGTCTGGCCCTCTAACAACCTCAGCGCGAAATTATAGCTAATTATAGCTAATTTGCCTACAAACATCAGGTGGTCATAATAATCTGGCCACTCAGTGTATATGTACAATGGAAATAAATTAATAATGACATTTTATTTAAAAATAAAATCACAGGAATGTTAACAAACATAGGAATAAACTTGGAAAAATAAAAGAACAAATTACTTTTAAACAGCGTTATATAAATGCATGCATCAATATATGCTTTAATAATCAAGTAACGTCAAGTCCTTAATTAAGCTGTTATATTCAGTAAATACTGAAACATGATCAAAGTTTAAATTGTTAACATTGCTTTCTTTGTCTGTAGACTTTTATTTAGAGGAGCTGCCCTTTTAACACTTGTATAAGTGTGCTTCTTTTATCAGTTCACTTCCTACTTATCTAGCCATTTGTCAGTGTACAAGTCAACACTGTGCTCCTTTCTCAGTAAGGTCGCTGAGCAGAGGGAGAGAAAGGATCAGTGCTGATCATTGTGGAGACAAGGCTATCATATAAACACTGGATCTACACAAAGGTGAAAAATGTTGTCTCACGCACATAATATATGGGATTATGTTGTGAGAGCCTTTAAAATAATAGTGCTGTTTCCTGCTCAGAATAATACGAGTGGCTACCATAACATCATGGTCTTTCAAAAGATTAGTCTGACATTTATTTTAGTGGAGTCTGTTTAAGATGGTCAAACGTGCAACATATAGCAATGCCGTTAAGAAGACCGATCGATTAGAGTGAAACTCCTGAAAAACACCTACATATGCAGTTCAAATTAGGCATGGGCTCGATACCATCGGCATTTCGTGTGTCCAGAGAACACAAGACCTGTCAGAGCGTTCGGCGGGCTGTTCGTCCGTCGAGCGCCCGACAAGGCTCTGCGCCTTGTGAAGCCATGATTGGCTAAAGCCTTGCACCTGACCACAGATCAGGTGCAAGACTTTGCCCAGTCAGGGCCCAGTACTCTGTAAGAGCCATGATTGGGAAAAGTCACCTTTTTGCCGTCTGTGTATATATTGTCTGTCTGTAGTTCGCAGCAAGCAGATGGGACGGCGGTCGTAATTTTTTAAAAATTTCATTATTTCTATTTATTTTTGATTGTTTTCATTTTTATTTAGTCGAGTCATTGTTGTCGTGGACAACACTGGACGACGTGATTGATCATGGATTACGGCGGTGGATCCATTTTTTTTTTTAAATTCATCCAAAAACTTGTCTTTTGTTTTTTTTTTCAAATAAAGGATATGGGGGGAACCCCACTTTTTTTCTTTTTTTAAAAAAATGGTGTCCCTCCTAAAGGTTTTTTTTTTCCTTTTTAAATGTCATTTTTGCTGCAGCTGGTTTTATACATTGTACATATGTGCCACTCTACAGGCAGTTTAAGGGGGCCCCACCAGGCACGATGTTTAAAGGAATTTTTAATTGTTATTATTTCGCTTTAAGTGATGGTTAAATCACTGCTCCTTTAAAAACGGTATTTTTTAAAAGTGTTTTTTTCCAGTGATTCCTGTCCCCCAGGGCAGTACCTGGATCCCCATACACTTTTATGGCCAATAAATTGCATATAAGGCTTTAAAATGGGGACATTTGATTTTCAAAGTTCTAGCCCCATAGACTTGCATTGAGCTTGAGTTTGAATTCAAACTTTTTCCATGTTCCAAAGTTCGAATTCAAATCGTACAGAGCGGCCCATCACTATTAACAATGTCTGCCCTGAAGGAGCTCACAATCTAAGGTCCCTATCTTATATTCATACACATACATACTAGGGCCAATTTAGAAAGGAGCCAATTAAACTATACCAGCAAGTCCTTGGAGTGCAGGAAGAAACCCTACACAAGTACAGGGAGAACATGCAAAATCCATGCACTTAGCATCCTGGTATTTGAACAGAGGACTCCAGTGTGGCAAGGCAGGAGTGCTAACCACTAACTGATTGTGCTTTCCTCATATATGTAGGACTAAACCCCAGTGGCCAAGCACTGCACTTTTATTAGACAGGTGAATTTTAGGTTGATGGAACTTACCCCCACAGATGGGGCTTAGCCCTGAAGTCAGAAATGTTGAACATATAGTGAATCCAAATTTAGACGGACTTTTGGTGCCATACAGTGCCTGCTGTTATGCAGGATCTTCACTTTTCAAAGTTTAAAATGTCTGCCGGGTGCACTTTAAAATAGCTATCTATAGAAAATTAGTATCTCAATTATACATAACATATGGAGACCTAAGTCATCCCCCCCTCCCATTGTATCTTCCAGAGACTACATGAGATGAGACCTCTCTACAATAGTTCCTGCCTTTGCTCCTGCTCAGTTCAGGGTATTACCACTCTAACTGTGGCATAACCTATAATACAAAATAAATGAAAAATGCAACAGGAAAAGGGAGGCACTGCAGGAAAAACCTGACAAGCAGAGGAATATCACAGATTTCATGGTAGATATAAGAAACTGCTGGGTGGTTTAATTCTCTTATATCACCCAAGCATTAAATTATCAGCTGTGGGCTGACTGAATCTTTAATGTCTAACATGAGTACAAATATAATTCAGCACAGATACAAGCTACTGCCACTCTGTGGTTGGGATGGGGTGAACAAAGCTTTGATTAAACAAAAGTGATAATATCTGAACTACGTAAAACATAATGAACTTGTTTTTTATGCCCAGCCATAACTTTACTTTTAGTATTGGATGGAGTGGTAAGGATTAGAACCCCTGCCAGGTTGCTACTGTGATCCTGGACTTCATTAGAGAGATTTCCCCTTACTTCCTATCCTGCTGATAATGTTCCACCAGACAGGAAGTGAGGGGAACTCTCCAACAGCAACACAGGCAGAGATTTAAAAAATGCCTTTCTTTAGTAGAGGAGAAGACTAGAACCCAGGTAACAATTTAATTTTCCAGTGTTCCTGCTGCATATTTATTTTCACCTCCTGTTTGGTGAAACTGATGTTAGAAGAACAGAAAGTGAGAGGAAACGTCTCTAAAAAACACCCCGCATAGCTGTAAAAACCCAACAGGAATTCTACTCTGTCCCCACTCTATCCAAAACTAGAAAAAATGGCTGAACATACACATTGGTTTCATTTATAAAAGTCCCGTCCGGCACTAGCGCCCCTAGATGGCAGTGACGAGTATAGGAAAATGTATTATAAGTCAACATAATATACAAACATGTTTTATTACAATAAATATAGAAAAAAATATGAATTAATTTTAAAAAATACCTACTTGATTGTTTGTGTATTTTTCCTGGTAAAAGGGGAAACAATTTTAAAAAGCAACTCCATGGTCCCGTTTATACCCAGCATCTCTCCGATAGGGACTGCACACAAAAAAAGGAAAGAAAAAATAGTTTATATAGACAAAACTACACTTATTTACTGAAGTATTTTTTTTAGATGTGTTCCTATATCTGAATACCAATATCAGATTCTGAAAACTGAAAGAAATACCCTGCTCCCGATTACCTATCAGAAGTAAATATAGTCTGATAAACGTAGAAGGATCTTCTAGGATTAACAATATCTGACCTTTTCAGAAAAATGTTATTTCTGCAAAATACGCAATTTATAGAAAAAAAGGCATACATTCCTTGAAGTGACACACACCAATTTGGAACATATACAAATGTTTATTTTCCGGGAACTATCATTTTCTAACACCAACCTAAACAGGACATGATTCATATGTGCTGCAAGCTTGTTTTGAAAAGCATTAATCACTGATAGTATTTTCACTATGGGGTTGATTTAATCAAAATTCACAGGGCCATTAATTCTGTAAATATCTGATAGTGTGTGTCCTGTGCCAATATACTGTATGCACAAATGAACATTATTTAGTCCTTATCCCTTACCAGTGCAATGGAATTTTAAGTTATTATTGTAATATTGCATTATGGCCACTAGATGGTGCTGAGGAGCATAGAAAATACTTCATTCCTATGCTCCTTTAGTATCATCTAGTGGCCATAAATAACACAAATAATTATTATTATTATTATTATTCCGCGACCAACAGATTGTGCAGCACTTTACAACATATGGGGAGAAAGTAGAATTACAATACCATACAAAAGGATTAGAAGGACCCCACTCGTGAGAGCTTACAATCTGCAAGGAGGGGCAAGTAATACGGAAGATGAGCTGATTGAGGGAGCATATGTACAATTTTTAAGAGGCGGTGGGATAGGCTTCCTTGAAGATGTGATTTTTCAGGGGTAGCCTAAAGGCAGAAAGAGTAGTAGATAACAATATAGGTTATGGTAGGGAGTTCCAGAGGACAAGAGACATGTGCATTCGGATTCGGATGAACCTGCAAATCAACGAAAATCAGGAATTGGAATCCGAAATAATACATTTATTATATGCCCGAATATACGAAAACTATTTTCGGGCATACCTAAATTCGTTTTCAGAACATGCCGGTAGCCATATTGTCTGCCGGTGTGTTCTGCACATGCCCGCCACCATCTTGGAGGTGGTGTGTATGACGTCACATGATGGTGACGTCACACGCTGAACAAGCGGTGGCCATATCGGCCGCCAGCGCATTCTGCGCATGCACGAAACATTTTTCGTTTTCATCTGTTTTGTCTGAAAACAAATGTTTTTGTTGTGCACATGTCTAGAGGAGAACTATGTCTATTAAACATGTCTATTAAAGGAGAACTATGGGGTTAAGTCTTTTCCCCATAGTTCTCCTTGGGGTAACGGAAGGACACAAACTAGCGTCCTCCCGTCACCCTAGGCACAGTATACAGCGAGCTGTAGCTCGCTGTATACTGAGACGCCGCAGTATACCGCGAGCAGCTGCTCACGGTATACTGAGACGCCGCAGCTGAAGCAGATCCCGACAATTGTGCCGGGATCCGCCCAGCTGCGTGACTGACAGCTGGCTCTGCTGATCTAGAGGCAGAGCCAGCTGTACCCGCCCCCTCCCCCGTCAGATCCACCAGTCAGCGCTGGCGGATCGGAGCAGGGAGGGGGGAATCCAGCCCCTCCCCTGTCACGACAGAGAGCCGTGACAGGATTGAGAGGTGAGCGAATGCCGGTATGTGTTCGCTCACCTCCCGATCTACTGAGCCGACCTGTGACAGTCTCATTGTCACAGGTCGGCTAGAACTATGAGGTGAGTGAAAAGCACTCACCTCATAGTTCTCCTTTAACATGGAGAAATCCATATGTAACTGTTTGCTGCATAGGTACACGGGAACTGGATGTTCTGTGAGAATATTCTTTTCATAGGTATGAATAGGTCAAAAAGCTTCACACTGATAATGCAGAGTACAACTGTGGTTTAAGCATTATTCTATACATGCTGTATACAAATGCTCAGTCAAAAGATTTTCATCAGTAATGTTTTTTTTAAACAAAAGATGCTTGGCTGACAAGCTTAATCATATATGTTTGTGTTCCTTGCAGTTTGTTATATGGTAGTTTGTTTGAGAATAACTTGGGTAAAGTTTAGTTTATGTTAGGTTTCACTACTTTTAGTCTTATTCATAGTGCATGACCAGTGATTTCCTGTGCAGCTTTGAATAAACACTGGCCAATTGGATTTCCCTTTTTACTGACAGGTTTTCTGCATTGTGGTCCCTTCTAAGCCAAAGCTCCTAGGGTGTAGCCTATTAACAATGTCATTTTAAAAGGGAATTATAATATATACTATGTTGTTGTTATAAAATACAGAAATTTAAAAAATAACACTTGGTAACATCTATGTCATTAAAGCGGATCTCAGGACACAACTACATCTCCCGTGATGTAAGCTGTAGGCTGGGTTAGACTGACAATTAAATGAAACACCTGAGCGGGTGGGCTGAAAATGCTTGTGCTGGACTACCATGGGTTGGTAATAGGTCCAGTCACACATATCTCGAAGAAGAGGATGCAGTAGTAATTGGTCTTCATAGCTGGATATTTATCCTCAGAGGCAGAAGCAAGCTCAAGTTTCACATAAGATTGCTGGTCACAAACTACTTTTTTTGATACACGACTGCTACACTAAGTTATGACCACTACTTATTCATTTTGACTGGAGTTAGGATTTAAATCCCAATCTTCTGGCATTTTTTTAAGAAAAAGAGCCCAAGAAAGTGTTCAAATATGGCTGCAATAATTACTGAATCTTTCACCTGCAGTATCTCTTTTATGCCACAAGATGTCCTCAGTCCAGTGTCATTTAACACAGAAGACTGAGAACATGCTGTGAGTGCAGGGCACAATGGACTTGCTGCCGAACAGGGTGTTATAACAGTCCCCTGAACTTAGAATGTAACGATGCTGACGGGTGTTAATGTTAAGGAGACTGGTGTTAATGTCATCACATCAGCATTACTCTCTGCTTCACCCACCACTGGGAAAAGATTTGAAAAGGAAGAGGACCCTGCTCGTCACATGACTGGCTTGAAGACTTCAGAAATAGATAAGCAGTATAAAATTACAATGGAGGTCTCCGGAAGAGCACTGCTTAGAGTTGGGCTATAACGGCATGGTGTGTCCTCTTGTTGAAGCCCCTGCTATTCAAATTATCACCTCTGCTGAATAGATTACCTATCACATTTTAAGAAGACTGAAGACTGGTGGCTGTAATGTAGTAACTACTTTAAACTTAGTAGTGACACCTTCATATCTCAGGATTTCTGTATGCGAGAAACAGTAAGGAGTCTTCATCACATGTATGGAAATGCCTTTTCTTGCATTACAATTAGACAAGCATAAGTGCTTTTCAGGTCATCGGCTAACTGATAGAAACAGACAGAGTGGACAGGTGCACCACAGCTGTACAGGGACATAAACACTTCATTAGCTAAGATGGGTATTTCAAAGATTAAAGTGAAACTCCAGCTATTTTTTTGGTTATAGATAGATTGGTTAATTGTTTATATCCCAACTAGGAAAACTTCACTGCAGAGACAGGTGGAGTGAGGATAAATCTTCCAGATTGGGAGGATGTCCCACTTGACATCTGTCATCTGAAAAAGGTGCTTCCATTGAGATCATTTTCCTCTGCCCCTGTTGTGGTAACAATTGAAGCATTTAGGATTTTCTCTTGCTTTCTGTCCGTCCGTTTGTCCGTCCCCCCAGTGAGAACAGTCACCAGGATAGAAAATTATAGTCAATTAAGGAACATAGAGAGAAAGATTTCCAATATGAACACAACTGTCAAAGATAGGATTTCCTTCACTTTGGAGAGATTTCCGCACACTTCCTGTTGTGTTTATGGAACAGAAAGTTAAGGAAAGTCACCTTCATGGAAAATACTGACAGGGGTTTTACCAATTACCTACTCTGTACAAGACCAATGTGCACAAATTATACTTTTCTTCTGAAAGTTGTCTATATTGTTAAACTATTTTTTTAGAGCTGGCCTTAGAAAAGTCATGGAACACAGTCTAGAGCTAGAATTGTATAAGCACTGTTAAAACATTTCATTGGGCTGACTTATAAAACTGTAGGAAATTGAACCAGAACAACATCAGAATTCTTGTTTAATTTCCTGATAACATGAAAATAAAAGCTCACTAGTTGCTACGTGGAACAAGTTTTCTCCTTTTCCCTTCTGCAGAATGTATACATCTGCTCCATTTTTAACAATATATTGGATTTAAAGAAGAACTCCAGGAAAACTTTTTCATAACCCTTGCAGTAGGGCTACCCCTGCGCTGCAAGGGGTTGGTTTTTGTTTAGGTGATAAAGAAAAAAAGTTATACTCACCCAAACCACAAAGCCGATCAGATGTCACAGGGCTCCCTCCAGCATGTCTCTTCCTCCACTTCAGCATTGGAATCTTCCTCAGTGTCCTCATCCTCACGTCTATACACTGCAGGGTAGGGGGAGAGAGGCTGGAAGGACCGGTCTAAGAACAAGCCGGCTCAGAGCATCGGGTGAGTATCAGTTTAGAAACATTGAGCAGCTCTACCCTCTTGTCTCCAGGCCCCCTGCTTGAACCTCGGTGCCTGATGAATCTTCAGCCGGAGCCTTCACTGAGCAATAGGTTAAAAAAACTACGACTAAGGCCCAGTTTGGGCCTGAAACATGTAAGCATTTGTTTGTTTGCTGCTGTTATGCCTTTTTATAAATAAAGTAATGGATGGACGCATCCCCTTGTGAGTGCCGGGTTTTTTTACCCATCAGGTGAGAATAACTTTTTTTTAAGCTAGACAAAAACAAACAGTTAACCTTTGCAGTGGGGGGGTAGCCCTATTGTAAAGGTTAATAAAATGTTTTCCTGGAGTTCGCCCTTAAGACTAAGGCCTTGATCACACCAATTCCAGTGCATTCCAGCACAGTTAGTTGCTGGAAAGCACTGGATCGCATAATTATAGCCTCTCTGCATTCTGGGGCAGGAGGAGGCGTGGTGGTGCATTCAATTGCACCGTAGCCACGCCTCCCACCCCACAGTGTGATCGCTCGCACCAGAATGTGTGGCACAGCAATGCCTGCAATCTGGTGCGATCGCAAAAAATAGTGCATGCAGCCCCAAAACGCAGAGAGGCTTGCTCAATGCAATCCAGTGTGTTCCAGCAACTAACCGTGCTGGAATGCACTGGATTGGGCGTGAAAAAGCCCTCAAGGGGCAAGTACTCACTTCGAAATAAGCGACCATGTGACTACATGGGTCACCACCAGCTGAGATGCCATTTATTTTACTTATCATACGTAACAGGAAGTAGTATTTCAGGTGACAGTTTTGGTTTTCATTATTATGCTGTATTGTTTTTATGTATATATATATATATATATTGTGGGGAGCATTATCACTTTCATAAACTTACCCTAAAAGAATAAAGTATAAATATAAATGAACACATAAAGTGTCAATAAAGTAGCCTAAAGAAATGTGAATTCCTTATATTGAGATGTCTTATTTCCAGACTATATTTTGTTCTTTAGTTTAACACTACGTTAATATTAACTGCTTTCTAAGAGCTAAGAACTATACGTTGCCTTTGATTGCGTTCTTGGATCTACAATGAATCCCATTCCCAGTTTTGGCTTGGAAGGATTCCAGAGTCTGTTTGACACACTTAAACCACAGAGCGCATTAGTGCCCAGCAGTCCATATCTCATCGTCTCCTTTAGCCTGTCAGGTGACTGCCGAATACATTTGCTAATAGTAACATTTGGAGAGCTTATTTAAGAAAGGCAAATGGCAGAAAACAACTAATTAGGATGGCTGTGAAACACTCAAACTCTTTGTGAGACACACGTGCCATAAGGTATCATCACTGGTTGGCAAAGTGACACAAACAGCTGACAAACACCATTGATCATTCAGTAAATGTTCCCGTTGACCTCTTCACATATTGTCTGCCTACACTGGGTTCTGCTGGTGAGATCGTTCAACACTCTTTCATTCCAGTAGTACTTTATGGGGATGGGTATAATGTTTCTGTAATATACTTTACTTGCCACCTTCACAGCAAAGCCTGCCTTGAAGGGAATGTGTAGTGGCTTTGTACGTATATTCTTCCTTGTTTATGGTCAGAAATAAAGCAAATCTTTCAAATCTTTCAGTTAGATAAGCATGAAATATTGTGTATTATTTTGAGCCAGTAGTTGGAGCTTTAGTCTAAATTTCACATGTCCGTCTATCTCTTTGCTCCTCTGATGAAAAATCCTGTTGTTTACAGAACTCAATAACACAAGTTACAATTTTCACTCAAATAGAGGCAAAGGAGCAACTAATCATAACGAATCATCCCCAATCCGACTGCTTGATCTGTGGTTTATAGACAAAGCTATCCTTAGTTTGCTTTATTGTCCCTTTAACTAATCTGCAGTGATATGTGAATCCTGTGTAATGCATTATTTTTTTATTTGGGAAAACAAAGATTCTTTGCAAAATATATCAATTTAAAGCAGAACGCAAGGGAAAATGATTATTAACCCTTCCAGTGGTGCTATCCTCGCACTGCAAGAGTTAACAGCTGTTTTGGTCTAGGCACCTAGCACTCACTGGCTGTGACAGCGCTCCCTCCTGCCTGTCTCCTCCTCCACTGCAGCAATGGAATGTCCTTCGACGCCCTCACGTTCTATACACTGTGTATAGAATGTGATGATTTACGAGACCTTATGGGGGTAGTCCCACTGCAAGGATTAAAGTAGTATTAAGGTCTGGGTGTTTTTTACCTTAATGTATTCTCTGCATTAGGGTAAAAACAGCCCAGCACCTTTTTTCTACCCCAGTCCCCCCCAGTCTCCCCCACACTTTCCTGTCAGCTGCGCTCGTCCCCGTCGCCGGTCCCGAAGTGATCCTTGGTACCCCGAACGTCCGGGTTGCGGGGGGAGGATACTGATGACAGAGGAGCCATAGGCTCCTTCTGCCATCAATCAAAGAGGGAAGGGGCGTGGCCTGCCACAGGGCTGTGCGTGTCTATGGACGCACACAGCCGCTGCGCGCACGGGTGCCTCCATTAGAACGATGGTGGGACTCGTGCAGGGGGCGGGGGAAGAGCATGGCGGGGACCCACTAGAAAACGAGAAATAAAGAAGAAATTTAAAAAAAATTGGCTTTCATATCACTTTAATAATAATTTTCCCTGGAGTTCTTCTTTAAAAAAAAAGATATAAAACAACAGGTAGAAAACGTATAACTGTAAAAGTTAAATAATTATGGGGGATTCTTGATAGTTGAACCCAGCTACTTCTGTTTACTTCATCAGTGGTGAGATAGCTACACCTGAGTGTCAGTCTTCTGGGCAGACTTAAGGTGCCCATACACTGCACGATAATCGTATGCGATCGGTTTTTCGTACGATAATCGAGCAGTGTGAACGGAGACGTGCGACCGTTTCTACTGTACGGTCGCACGTCTTCTGTCGAACCAGCATGTTCGAAAACCAGCCGGGAATCGTACGATTCTCGGCTGGTTAGAACGGTGCTCGGAAGACAAATGCCGAGCGGGCCGGTGTGCGCACGCGCACACTGCCCGTTCAGCATTGCGGTCATCGGAAGCCCGCCCCTCAGGGGGGCGGGCTTGCGATGATCGAGAGTGCGATCTGCCTGTCCAAGATAGGCAGATCGTACGTTTTTTAAATCCCTGTACAACCATCGCAAGACTAAAGTCTTGCGATGGTTTTAGAGTGTATGGCCACCTTTACAAAAGGTCTGATTACTGGAGAGAGATGCGACATCAGTGGCAATTCAGTCCACCAGCATTTACCCATCACTGAGATATTCATTTTTGGTTTGCTAAATTGTTCAAAGTAATAACAATTTTGAAAATAAAACCACTGACAGTATTATTGAAAGGAAAGTGGCAGTGTTGTGTTCCAAAATCACCGAAGTGAATACCCACCACTGGACGCATACATTTGCACAGCGCAGAGACATGGAGTCAGATGAGCAGACTTGGAGAGATTTTTTCTTATCAGACTCAGGGTTACATCAATAGCTTCTAATTTTTGGGCCTTTTCCCCAAAACATTCATCTAAAATAAAAAAAATAAAAACATTTCAGTGTGTTTCAGACGCTTTCACATATATCAGCTTGCACCAAAATCTTAAGGACAAAGCCAGTGTAGCATGCTTGAGTCATATATATGCTTGTTTGTATTAAAACTAAAGTGACACTAAACTCAGGAGTTAGATCTTAAAGAACATTCAAGAACCTTATCTATTAACAAAAATGTATCATGTTAGTGTATTACTCAGCGGTAGATCCTCAAATCATCTCTGACTTGGTGCTGACACTGTCCTTCCTTCTGGAGGGTGGCTACTTTTGTTCCCCATGCTCCCTGTGTGTGTTGTAAAGTAGCCACCACTCCAAGCTCACTCCCCTGACAGATAATAATCTCATATTTAGTTTACTAATTTGTATTGAAATTAACGTCAGCTCTACTTTACAGAATGAGAAAACAATAGCAACCAAACAAATTAGTCTATGGCAGGCTACCAAGTTACTGCTGGTAAGGGGAAGTAGGGTGACCTGAGTTGTTAAAATAAAATTGGAATTGCTATGAGTAGGGATTACTCCACAGTTCATGCAGCTATAGAGAACAGTAAGTGTTTGTTTTAAATCTTTTTGCTTCTTATGAATGAGTACATATTTGGATGGCCATAGCCCGGCTTCAGGTTTAATTTATTGGCACAGATTTGCAGACTACTGCAGAGTTATTTTAATTTATACTTTGATATTAAATGTGTTCAAGATCTGCAGCCACATTAAAGCCCTCTCTGTCCCAACAAATTGTGTAATATGATGTGGTAGACTATAAAGACAAAATTATATTTTGGATGTTATTTACTTTTCTGTTTATTAAAAAACATTTTTTTTAGAAATATATTTACTGATTTGATGTGTTATATGCACAAATCAGCATTTATTTCTCATACCTTTTTTAATAACATGATTGCTATGAGAAAAATGAGGTTTATACCTTTTATCACACAAATATGAGTAATCCCACAGATACAGTACCTCTCTGGCCTACCTTGACCATCAGGTGGAGAAGGGGTAAAAGGAGGCTGTAGTCAATGGATTCTGATGTTGCTACATTTACCAGAGTTTGAAGCAAGGCCTCACTTCCTCCCTTGGATATCATGTAGTGAATCCGACGATGAGTTCCTGTAGTGAGAAGAAAAATAGAAGAGTCCTTGATTATTTTTAGGTAATATTTTTGCTTTTTTAACCTGGAACAGCTTCCCTACATTTTTTTTTTAAATTTGAAACTTGTCATGTTCTTCATACTGCTAAATTCAGTACTAATTTCAAGAACACACAGCTTTTCATATTTTTCAGAGATATTATTTTTAAGAGATATTATTTTTCAGAGGTATTATTTTTCAGAGGCCTTCTATAGAAGGTTCAATGAGAAGTCTTCTAGGGAATTATTAGTCAATGGTAGTTACAGCATCCACTAGACACAGTAAGGGCTAAGTCACACTAGCCTGCACGTACAGAGTAATTCCCTCAATGATCAACATGCTTCAGGATCTTGCTTGCCAGCCAAGGGAGCAGAGACAGAGTGATACCTTACTGGTACTACTGAGTGATTCTGTAGGAGCAAGTGAGTGCTTTTATAATGATGCTGTCGCTGGCAAATTTCCCCAAGTCACAGGGTCCAGGGTGCATGCCCTCTGAACCAATATGACAATTCCTAAATCACTTGATAAACAGGCCACTCATCAGCTAACTCATCATGTTTCTTATCTTGATCTCTTCCCTCCATCACAGGCTTTCACATACCTGCAGGAGCCACCCATATCCCCCTGTCATGGCCCAGTGTTGGCAATTCTGATAGGAAAAGCTCTGACACTTCAGGGTAGTTTCAGAGATTTTCAGAGATTGCTACTAAGCCCTGCCCCTACCTACCGGTCCATCATTATGAAAAGCATAATGTGGCATTACTCTATGACATACAGTTTAACCCCCTCGCGAACACCCATTGGAATGCAATGACTGGTCAGACGACCTACTGTTCTGTGAGCAGGGAATGATTTCAACCTATTTCGCCCATGGGGTGAGGTGTGGCACATTAGAACCCCACTCCATGTTGACACCCTTATCTAGACATCAGGTAAGTCAGTTACCAGTCAGCATCATGTACCAGCGTTTTGTAGGGGCCCTCCTCAATATACCCTTCCTAAATCTTGAAGGGTATAAGGGGTATTAACATGATAGCTAAGGGCAACATGTTTGCTGAGCCTGCATTAGTGATACCAGCCCACATCCATACTGTGGGACCTAAGACAAAAAGATAACATAACTCAAATGGAATTCTATAAAAGCTTTGCATCGGCACTATTGACAGCCCGTAAGACATTGTTTCTTACCATTCATTTAAAAGAAAACCAGTACTGAACCCATCACAAAAAAGCTAATTGTTTGGTTTAATTACAGCTGGGTAGTGTTCCCAGAAAAAAAAAAAAAAAAACACTGACTGGCTTTTCACTGACTTGAATGGAACCGTGCTTTTTCCAGGAAATTGACTTAAAACCCCAACATTGGCTTCACATAAATGATAAACTAGTGTTCAATGTAACTTAGTTACCATTCTCTCACATGTGTACAAAATAGAAAATAATACAAAAAATAAAGAATCAATCCCATGCAAATAATTTTCACATTCAATGTGTTGTTTAACAGCCTTTACAGATCAGGCCCAAAAACCCTGCAAATGAGCAAAAATTGGTTGGGTAACTATGGTTGAAATATCTTGGCTGAATCAGCTACAGTATCAGTACCCTATTCTTTTCCTCTCTATGGTCCTCTGTCAGAGTACATCTTTTAGGTTAGGATAGAAAAAGACATGTATTGGTCTCATTATCTACAGAATACATGGTGTAGTCATTCACAGAGAAAGCAATGTCTTTTTACAGCCCTATCATTTCCAAGAACATCGCCTGCAATAAAATACTAATGCAATATGGTCACTTACCAGCAGACAGCAATTCACTTAATACACTCAGGATATTCAGGGTTACATCTTTCTCCACGGAGCTCTGTCATGAGAAGAAAATAGACACATTATATTTTCGTTATGGGACATATAGCTCTGTTACCTTGTCATTTCCTGGGGAAAAAAAAGAAATGATTAAATGTTTTTCCGATGATTCCTCTTCATAACTTCTAGTAATCAATCTCATATTGCCTGTTCAAAAATCAATTTCTTTACACATCTCTCAGTGTGTTCTATACAACTCAACGCCATTTTAACTCTTGTGGCTCTCAGAACGATCAGCTTTACAGAAAGCAATGATTATTTCCTGTTGTGGCAATGTGAAATAAAATATTGACATAATTTCACCTTGTATCACTGGAATGTGTTATCAGGAATAATTCAGCAGTTGGTGAAAGCAGTGCTGTAGTTCCATTGTGTTGGGTAACATAATGGAAACAGCTCCCTATGGATAGCTTCAGAAGTGTAAATTATGAGAACACGAATATGGAAAACGAGTAATCAAACTAGCGTCGGATGAAAATTGGGCATCTTGTGTACTTTGTTATGGATACAAATTATGGCAATCTTTATTCAAACTAGGCCAGGTGGTGGAGAGAAGGAGTAAGAGACAACTTTCCTTTAGTGAACTCCAAGAAAAATACTGCTATCCCTATCTATACGCTATTATACCTGCATCGTCTCACCAACTCCTATGCCCTCATTATCTATGCAATTTGGAATGATTTATAAACATGGCCCAACTAGAAAAAGACTAATTTCATATATCTACAAAGCCTGGTGGAATTTACTAAATGATCAATTCCCAAAATACATGACCAAATAAGAAAATTACTAAGGCTATGAACTTTCTATTGAAATATAGTTAACCATATGGGCTCAGGTTAAACAGGAAGTAAAGTGAATTTTGAGAACATTGCTGATAGGCTGAAGAGACTGTTTAAAGCTAGCCATACACTATACGAATTTCAGCCGGCGCTACTGGCACCCTTTCAGCTGATTGAAGGAGCTGGTCAAAAAATCTTTGAACGAACAGAGCCAGCAGCCAATAACCTTCCGCCTTTGCTCGGGTATTTTGACAGTGGCTGACATCAGAATACAATGCAAACAGTGGAATAAACGTTGATGGTGGAATCTGTTATATGTTCTTCATTCAGGCCATGGGTCTAACGAAGAAAATATTACCGTGTATGACCGATTTAAGTCTCTTCTGCCAAAAAAGCTCCTACCTGTATAACAATACCTGCCTGTTATCAATTTTTTTTCTGTGCATTGAGCTGCAAACCATACAAAGAAAATACCTACACGATTATATCATGTTAGTATTAAACCCTAGAATGCCTCCACGTGATATATCCTTCCTTGTTCCACATGTATTGGGAATGTAACACTCTATAACATAACATATAACATTTTTTGAAACATTGTGAGAACATCATTTTTTATATCACTAATTGGCCTCTCTACACACTAGATCATTCACACTACTTCCTGTGATTTCCTTTTCAGATCTTAGCATTGGTAGTTAATAAACCCATCTTTCATGTAATCACCACAACACAGTGCTTGATAGTGCTGACATAGAAACAAACCTCCCCTTATGTGGTTGACCTTATCAACCACATAAGTGAGCTACAAAAAATGGAGCTCTTATCGACTCAGAAACATTAGACCCCGTTGGCTACTCACATAAAGCGAGATGAACTTCAGGTTCAGGTTGATGGAAAGTTTGACACCCGAACTCTAACTGTTCAAGGTTTGCAGAATGGGTAAAGTAAATGGCCAGATTTGGCCTGTTTGACTGCCTGAACCTGCTGTTGCAGCCAGAAGTGATTCATTTTGTGGCGACTTTACTCGCTCTTTGGTATTCGCAGGTGACATCAATAACAAAATTTGGTTATGACTGGCTGGCTTCTTGACATTCCTGCTGGCAATTTAGCTGTCTGTTGCTACAATGCCCAGATGACCTGTCGGCAGGTTGTCTGGGCATCGTTTATTGTAACTGTTCTGTATTGGATTTACAACGCGGGACATGTTTTTTTGTTGTTTTTGTTTTTTAAATAAAATACTTTGTCAACTTTGTATTTAGTGATACTTTGTATCTGTGTGTTTATTTCCATTTTCCATTTTTTGTGAATGAGAAACCAGTGCTACTATGCACTCCCTAATAATTTATGTGGGGGAGCCCCCCATTCTATTCCAATTCCCCTACCCCCCAGGCCCTCACATCCACAAGTCCATGAATGTGAGGATGAGGCTCTTGCTCACTGCTACCTCTTTCCTGGCTGGCCAGACAGGCTACATGCCCGGATTAGGACCCCAGCATTGTTTTTTTTTTGTTTGTTTTTTGTGTGGGGTCCACCCTCAAAATACATATCACACCCTCATCAAGGTTAAGGGTCTGGTATGGATTATTAGGTGGACTCCGTGCAAGCCTTAGAAAACCTGATCCAAGATGAATTTATAGACCAGCTCTTTCAACAATAGATGATAAAAAAATTGTTGAATTAGGGTACTGAAGGGGCCAAACGCGTCTCGAATTTAGAGCAATCTGTACGGTCCAAGTCACAGAAGCAGTTCCAGTTAGTTCTCGTAGAACAGTGTGCCTTACTAGAATGAGCTGTACTATCTCCAGTGCAAGGGAGCTTTCAACTTTATTTTTAAAACTGTGATGTGGTGACATTACTGGCCACTCACAAATACTTGTCCCTGTCTATCAGACAGATCTGTATCTGCTAGCAGATAAAGAGGGTGATGTATCCCTCCTATTACTTATTTAGATGTGTGTGTGTGTGTGTGTGTGTGTGTGTGTGTGTGTGTGTGTGTGTGTTATATATTAGGTATATGAATATGCCTTTATGATGCTGGTGAACCAGCTAATGGAGCAGTGAAGAATATTTCAGAGAACAGGAACAATATGAAAAAACTTGTGCTGTTTATCCTATTTCACTGAAGACTCTGGCTCTGGCAAAATTACCTCTGACAATATTTAAGCTCTCAGTATGTTTCGAGGAGTGCATCATTGACTTTCATGAGTGCAGCTTCAGCTGACAGAAACTACATTACAATATAGCAGTACGTTAGTGGTATTAAAGGACAAAAGAAAAAAGAAAAGGCATGTATGATGAAAGCTTAAAGCTAAACTCCAGGCAAGCAGCTAAATAAATAGGTGTGATACATATATGCAAGCATTTTTTTTTACTGTTAAAGGACATATAATTATGTGCATCCAGTTATGAAATATACAGAGCCCTGCAGAGCCAGTGAACTAATCAACCTGCTTTTTCTTCTTGTCATCATTTTCTTTATTAGCAGATCTGCATGCAGCACATTTAACTGACTCCCCTCCAGTCTGAATGTTGCTGTATGTGTAGCCACCTTTTGCTCTCTCCTAAACCCATTGGAGATGGGTATTGTTTGTTTTTGGCTGCTGCTGGATTTGAACCTGGCAATAGAGCAACCGACACAATAATGCTGCATTATGAATATTTGTGTCAGCCTGGCCAATCACTAGGTGGTTTATTGCCACTGGTGCTTGCTGGGTAGTGATGGGCTCGGGCGTGTTCGCAGCTCCACGTGCCGAGCCCGCCAGGAAGCTGGCAGCGCCGCAGGGCCAATCACAGGTACTGAGACATATCACGGTCTCTGCAGCTGCGGACCGGGATAATGCCTCAGTACCTGTGAAAAGGCCGGCCCTGCCTGAACCCATCACTATTGATTGGGATGGGAATAAATATTTGGGGCTGACCTTGATAGTGTCTCTTTCCATGGGGCCCCAGGGTAGGATGTGTTGCTGACCCTGGTATAGCTATGCCTGCTGCCTAGGGAAAGCCTGAATGCCACTGGAAATGGAGGCTTGGATTGGGCCTGAAGCGGCCCTGCCTGGCAGAGGGGAAGATGTTTCAAGATGGAGTGCCAGGGTGAGTGACTCTGCTGGAAGACGAGGCTGGTAGAAGATGGATCCCTGCAGGGAACTGGTAATTCTCTTAAGAGAAGTCTGATAACCAGATGGAGTTATATACAGAAATTCTGGTTCTGATCTAAAGGCTCTCTGCACTGTATAGCTGGATATGGGGCCTGGGTGTCTGTAGCCCTTCCCCTCTCTCCAAGTGAGCACCAATGCAGAATATATTCCTTAAAACACCCTAAAGAGACCAATTTACATTCGCTGTCTTCAAACATTTAATGATTGTCAGCTCTCATGGACAGGGCCCTCCTAAACATCTTGTATTGTAACTGTAATGTCTTCCTTATATTGTAAAGCGCTGTGCAAACTGTTGGCGCTATATAAATCCTGTATAATAATAAAATAATAATAATTACATAGATTTTTTTTTATATTTTTGTTAGGAGTTTAGTTCTAAAGTGAAAAATGTCATGCCAAATGTCAACAGACTTGAGTTTTTAATCTTCTCAGACTAAATTATTTACTGCAATGCAGTGCTTTTGGGTCTCGCAGTATACCAGAAATTTCTATATCCCCTGCCATTAATGTAGTCTCTTTGATTTTCAGTTAATATGAATGAGGCACCCTTCCTTTACATTAAAGTAAACCTATTGCAAACCTGGACAATTTAAACTGAGCAGATACTGAAACATTGCATAAGCCTACATTCAGTGAAATTCAAAGATTTAGGCAGATGTAGCTATATG